GATTTTTCCTGCCCAGGCTGGCTTTGAACTGTGATCCTCAGATCTCAGCTTCCTGAGTAGCTAGGATGACAGGCGTGAGCCACCGGCACCTGGCTGGTCAAACTTTTTGAGTGCCACTTTTTATCCTCCAGACAAGGGGAGAACCGGACTCCTTCAGAGAAATTGTTCTAGAAAGTTCTGGAAGCAGTGGCAGGAACAGGTGGATAGAGACCGGGAACAGAGTTGTGAGGTTGTGCAGCCCATGGCCGGCATCCTTACAAGGGGAAGTGTCTTAGGTCAGAGTTCATGAGAATGTCCACCTTGTCTCTCCCTGTGACAGTCCCCCAGGAACAGAACCCAGGACCCAGCACTCAAATAGCTGCTTATGTTAGAGACGGGGTGGGGTGACCACAGTGCGTGTCACTTGGAACCCATATCTGAGCAGTGCGAAGCTGAGGCTGTGAACCACAGGTACTTGGTCTGCTTCACGCAGGACAGCACTTCCCGATAGGAACAAGTCTGCAGCAACTTCCTGTGATGGAGGCCCAACTGCTGTTCCTGTCACAAACCCCAAAGCTGATGGGTTGTGGCGGTGATTCCTCTGCCCTCAGCCCCAACTTCAGACTGAACGCCTTTTCCAGCTTGCACATCTGTCCCCTACCATCTTTGCCCCCTTCGTATAGTGGTTTAAAAACACATTTCCCAGTTCCTATGGCTTTTTGGGGGGGGAGAGGGGAAGGGGAAAATCAGTATTTTCTTAATGTGGCCAATCTATCTTTTGTGACTCATTCCATTGCTTTGGTGTTTAATATCTTTCTCCTAGCCTAAAGTGGAGATAGTGACTCATTTCCTTTAAAAGATTTTTTAAGTTTCAGTTGGGTATTGGGAGGCTAAGATGATAAGGATCACAGTTTGGGGACACAAGACCCCATCTCAGTGGGAGAAGCTGGGTATGGTGGCACACATCGATTATGCGAACTATGGCAGCAAGTCAAAAATAGAGGATCACAGTCCAGGCACTGGGCTGGGCAGGAAGACCCTATCTCAAAAAAAAAAAAAAAAAAAATCCACACCATGGAAAAAAAACTGGTGGAAGGGGCTGAGAATGTGACTTAGTAGTAGTAGAATGTTAGCCTAGCATGCATGAAGCCCTGAGTTCGATTCCTCAGTACAACTGGAAGTGGCTCAAGTGGTAGAATGCTAGCTTTGAGCAAAAGAAGCTCAGGGACAGTGTCTAGGCCCTGAGTTCAAGCCCCAGGACTGGCAAAAAAAAAAAAGCTGGCAGCCAGGTGCTAGTGGCTCACGCCTGTAATCCTAGCTACTCAGGAAGCTGAGATATGAGGATCATGGTTCAATGCCAGTCCGGGCAGGAAAGACCAATTAACCAGCAGAAAACTGGAAGTGGCACTGTGGCTCAAAGCAGTAGAGCACTAGCTTTGAGCTCAAGAGCTCAGGAACAACATCCAGGCCCATAATTCAAGCCTCACAACCAACAAAAGAAAAAAGAAAAAAAATCTGGCAGTGTGGCTCAGTGGTAGAGTACCCCCCTCATAAGCCTGAGTTACCCCAGTCTCTTCTTGCAAGTTTCATTTCCCTCCAGCTGTTCATTCCATTAGGACTATCTTGGTGTATGCATCCCTACTGAACTACAGTGATTATTCTAATAATTACTAACTTGTTAATATATTCAATTAAAGTTTTGTTCTGGAATACAAAAATCATAGGGAACTGAGACTATTATAGTCAAGAGTTTAAGACATTGTCTTGCTAGGTAGCCCTCAACTGTCACCAACTCAATCCTTTTTCTCAGCCTCTCAAGTGCCGGGATTACAGGTGTGGACCAGCCAGTCGTAGATAGATCCTTAAAAGCTAGAATTAACATTGTTGGGTTGAAGGTCAGAACAAGGCTGTGCACTAGTGGCTTACACCTGTAATGCTAGCTACTCAGGAGGCTGAGATCTGAGGATCTTGGTTCAGAGCCAGAGGAAGCAGTAAACTCTGTGCGACTCTCATCTCCAATTAACTCCCAAAAAGGCAGAAGTGGAGCTATGGCTCAAGTGGTGGACTGCCAACCCTTCAACAAAATTTAAAAAGCTCAGGGACACAGCTTCTGTCCCAAGTTCAAGCCCCAGGATTAGCACAAAAATAAAGGTCAGAATGTTAAGACTACGGACGTTAGCCGGGCACTGGTGGCTCACACCTGTACTCCTTGCTACTCAGGAGGCTGAGATCTGAGGATTGTGATTCAAAGCCGGCCTGGGCAGAAAGTCTGTGAGATTCTTATCTCAAATCGTATCTCCAAATAAACACCAGAAAACTGGAAGTGGCTCAAGTGGTGGAGCGCTAGCCTTGAGCTGAAGAACACAGGGACAGTGCCCAGGCCCAGAGTTCAAGGCCCACCACCACCACCAAAAAAGAGCATGGATGCCTCTGTGTGCCTTCCTCCAGCGCGCTGTGCCGTCTAACACATCATACTTTGCCACTCTGAGAGGACAGGGACTTCTGTCTGGGACTAAAGAGCCTCGTCCAGTCTGGGCAATGAGTACTGCCCCTTGGAAGGAACGCTGTGCCCTTGATAAAGACCCCATGACAAGTTTTGGCACTGAAGATGCCACCAGAAAGAGAAACTGGCCACTTCAAAAATTAACAGGTTCTTAAGACCCAACAGACTTTTTCTGGACACAGAACATCAAATAAGTGAAGGAAGTAACTCTTTAAAAAATAGAAGCTGTCCCAGACAGGGTCTGGCTGGCCGTCTGGGGAGAAGCGACGGCCCCCAGGTCTGCTGGCAAAGAATCAGGCAGCCGAAGCAGACACTGGCCCCCGCTAAACAGCTAAACAGACCACTGCGCCTCCCGCCGGGCGCTGTCTCTGGAGAGGTCTGCAACTCCTTCCTGCCAAGTGCTCCCTTGTCCTGCCTGCCCGATGCAGGCCTGCTAGGCCAAGGCCCCCCAAGAAAGAGATCATGGTGCCCTTGACCTCATTTACAAATGTTTGGAAAAGGTAAATTTCTGGCCACACTGAAACGTGGGCAACGGCATCCTGTTAAGGGTGAAGTGGAGGGGACCGGGGGGTTCACAGGATTAAGACACCCATGCTACTGAAGGGAGCAAGCTGGCCGTGGCAACGGCGGCAGTCAGCCACAGTGGGCATGCGCAGGTGTGTCTTGAACCACATGGAATGTCACCCAGGGAAGGGCTCAGAGGCTGAGCTGGAGGGGGAGGGCAGGTCCTGCGGCTGTTACCATGGAGGAGGCCGGGTCCCCTTGAACAACAGAGACCCCTGGCGGCTCAGAGCCAGAGGTGTCACGGTGGGGCAGCCTGGGTATGAAAGAAACACGGGACTCGGAGCTGTAATCAATGATTTTTATCTTTGAAAATGGAAGCAAGTGTTTTTGACAGAACACTATGGCCGCTCTATAAGAGCCGATCGGGGGTGTGCACTGTCCTCCTGCGGACGTCTGGCTGCTAAAAGACGATGCTTGGCGAGCAAGACTTGGGAGACAGGAAAGAATCCACAAAGCTCCAGGCACCTCTGGGCCGTGAACGGAGGCTGCAGTCGGGCCGGGAGCGCAGGCCTGGCCCCCCCTCTTCTGTGAGCCACAGTCCCCTGCGGCATCACCACCGTCCGCAACTTTCTTTCCCTCTTCTTTTGCTTTCAGAACCTCAACACATTTTTCTGCATCTCAGAAGAGCTCATCCGAACAGTGCAGCGTGAACAAGTCACTGTAACTTTACATCCCATACCTATGTCAATATTAAACACACACACACATACATGCGCACACACACACCACCACACCAAACATCCAGATGTCTGAAACCGTGAGGGGAGCCGGGTATGGCTGGTTAGGAGTCTGGTTCCCTTGCCAGCGGCCAGGTCCCCCAGTTGGGCCATGCGATCTAACCAGCTGTCACGCTCCACCTACATGCTGGCTCCCTGTACGTACCCATGCGGCCAGCCCCCGCCCTCGGCAGTCACCAACAGCCCTTCCGGGACAGAAGTGCCTTCCTTCAGTCTGGCTTCACAAGCATGCGCTGTGAGAACAGAAAAGCGCAAAGCTCCAGCGGGCCCAGGCATGCTGGCCATCCGTGCTTACCAGGGGCCTCTGTGATCAGTTAGGATGAGGACACGAGCCGCAGAGACAGAACACGGGCCAGGCGGAGGGCTCAGAGGGACAGCAGAGGTCCTGTGCTCCTGCCCCTGCGTCATTCTAGATCATGCTTTTCAGTCTCCACATCCAGTGTTCCCTGAGCCTCGCCTTGCTGACCGTGGTTAGGGCTGAGAGGCAGGCGGCCAGGCAGGACTGGTTGGGGAAGCCCTGAGAGGTCGCAGCAGGGTGAAGAGGAGGAAGGAGGAGCGCTCTGTGGGTGTTGGGGACAGCAGGGGGTCATGCAGGAGATGGGACCATATGGCAAAGGCTTTCCCGAATGCCCTCCAGCCCCTGCTCTCAAGAACCAGGCAAGTCACTGTCATGGGCAGGGACACTCAGCAACATGCGAGTCTGCCCGTCTGGGGTGCCCTGGTCAAGCATGGACCAAACCTGAGCCGTCATGTTCAACGTGATGAAGGCGACATTCTGTGTGGGTAACAAAACCGCAGAAACGCATGCGAGTTTAGGTTAGATTATAATCGTCTGAAGCACAGGGTCAAGCAATATTCCATTCTGCTACACCCACCCGATTTCTAGAAAAGAGAAAGGAAAGCGAGGAAGAGACAGGATGTGAGCTCTTTTTGATCAGGAGACTCGACAGAATGCGGATGGTAATGTGGTCCACGTGATTTTTTTCAAGTCTTCCATCCACAGTCACTACAATGACCAGGTTTGTGCTGCAAAGGAGCCACACCATGTGGCTTCCGCTGATTGTTCTCAGATGAGTGTTTATACAAAATAATATCTTCATTTCCTTATAAACATACACAGTGCTGTCCCTTTCAAATTAAGGAAAAAAAAAAACCCACACAAATACTGCAAAGTAGCAAAATACAAAGAAAAAAAAAGCTACTTTTGGTTTTGGCAACATTAAAAAAAAAAAAGAAATACAAAAAGCAATGTGGCATTGGTCCCTAGTCATTTAAAAAAAAAAAAAGGTACTTGGGCACGACACTGAATCAGAATTGATTTGATTTCTAAAATTCAGAAGATCTGGGATTTTAAAAGTAGCACGTTTGTCTTTTAAAAGTTCAACAAGTCACATAACACTTAAAACGTCAAAAAAGCTTTCGGATAAAAAAAAGCTCAGCTCTTGATTTTGCAAATTTAGGAGAGGAATTGAGTTCCTCCTGGAATGTGGCCTATCGCTGGTTGACAGATCTGAATGGAATGTCTCCAGATGGCAGTGCCTCCCTCCCCCCTCCCCCCGCCCGAGGACCACACCAACAGCCAGCTACCCAGCACAAGTTCTTGCTCCCGTGGGTTAGGGGTGGGGCCTTCAGGCGGCTATCTTCGCCATCTGCTGTTCTAACTTGGAAATGCGCTCATCTTGATTGCAGATTGTGTCTTTTATAGATTTGATCTCTTTTAAAATCTCATCCAACTTGGCTTCATTTTGCTAAAAGCAAAGCAGAGCAAACAAACAGAAAAGTGGTGAGCACAGGGCAGTAAACCAGCTCCAGCCAGCACAGTCCTTCCAATGCGACTTTCTGTTCTGCAGATGGCAAGCCACAGCCACCGAGCTGAAAAAGGCCAGAGCCATGGCATCTGGGCCTCAGGAGGACACAACTGATACGGGTCAGCCCCGCTGAGAGCTCAGCGCGACCCCTGGTCCCGTGCCTACGCCTTACCCACCCGGGCAAGGACTCCCAGGTGGCAAAGTGCAGGATGAGAGCGCCCCTCAGGCCGCCCACCCACAGGCCCAGGGGAGCAGCTCCACAGGAGCAGGTAGGGGTGGCTCCACCGCGTCGCCGCCCTCCAGCCTCCTGGCCCCCACATTCCCCACTCCACTGCTCCCAGCACAGTGCTCCAGTGGCCACCCCATCTCCTCAGGGGCAAGTGGTCCTGGGCCTCTGCCCCAGGCTCAGGTCATCTGTGTTGCTAGCCCCACCCACTGCTGAAAACTGCTGACTATGAGCCACACCCCAATTCTAGCCACTTCCTCCTGCCAAGGCTTCTCTTCCTGCCTCCTGTGACCCCACATTTCCATATCTTCCTATTTCTTCTCTATCAGGAGGGTCTAGGGGAAGACCCACGAGGTCCTGTCCTCTCCCCAGAGACGGCAGGACACTGCTCTCCACTGCCAGCATTCTAAAAGCCCGAGCCAAAGGAGCCCAGTGTGAACGGAGCTCAGCGGGCCCCACGCCCCAGGACTCTTGCCTGTGCCCCGAGTCCACTGTCCACTCCCTGCATGGGCACGCACATTCCTGTCTGCTTACCACGCTGGCCGTGTCTGTGCTTTTCTTGGGGACATTGATCAGGTCACACTTCTTGTTTGCTGTGGGCTTGCTGTCCAGAATGTTCTTCTTGACCACTTTGAGATCCCTGTTTTTGCCAGGAATGTAGCCGTGCTTCAAGGAGATGAGGATGGGGTCGGCATTCTTCCCCTCGAACCACTCCTCAGCCTCCAGCGCGGCTTCTGGCCCCGCTGTGTCGGGGTACAGGTCATCCTGGAAAAGGTCGGACTGCAAGAGACACGTGTGGGCCCTTCAGTAAGGAAGACAAGGTGTTGGCTCGCTTTGATTTTTAACATGTCTTGCCCCAAACTGGGTACCCACCTTCCTGGGGACTGTCATGATGACAGGCTCACACTTTCTCTCGTGGAGCTTGAAGAACCTTCAAAGGAGACAGAAAGGCAACATCGCATGAAGTGACACGGGATGAGAGAGCAGCATCTCACCCACCTTCTCCCAGAGGCCCAGACAGGAAGTGCTTCTTACTGCCCCTCACATGACCCCCTGGGCAGGAGGCAAGGCCCACAGTCCCACTTTACAGATAGGTCCACGCCCTGGGTTCTGGGTCCTCTTGAAGTACTGGGGTTCGAGCCCAGGTCCTTATGCGTGACAGGCAGGCAAGCTCTCTACCACTGAAACATGCCACTAGTCTGGATAAAATCTTAAGACTGAATCTATTTTGGATCATATCTTGATTAGTTTGGTTTAAACCGCTATTTTAATTATTGGTGCCAGTTTTCCTTCATTATTTTAGCTACTTTTTTTTAAAAAAAAATAAATCTATGATGAAGCTGGATGTGGTAGTACATGCCTGTAAGCCCAGCACGTGAAAGGCGGTGGTTAGAGGATCTTGGTTTGATACCAGCACAGCAAAACCCCTTTCTCAATCAATCTTGATAATCTTTAATGATCAATAAAAAAGGGATTTATAAATATTCTCCCATTTTTGGTAGAGCGCTAGCCTTGAGCTAAAGAGCTAAGGGACAGCGCCCACGTTCAGAGTTCAGGCCCACGACCGGACCCCTCCCCAAAAAAAATAACCTTGGAATAAATATTCTCCCATTTTTTTTTGGGGGGG